ACTCAATCCGCTTCCCAAATCTCTACTGCCCATTACTGGCGGGCTTGAAAGCCATGATCTTTCCTTTCGGGGGTCGTTCCCCGGTCTGGGTCGACTCTGCCCCCGGGCGGCGCTTTGTAGACGGGCTTGGGTGCTCCTTTTGGAACATGAGAAGGCTCGTGAGGGGGAGGCGTCTTGTACGAAACCTTCGGTCCAGCCGAGTTATTCTCATTGGCTGTTTAGCAGCAGCAAGCATGGAAGGTACTCCCCACACCCCAAGGCACACCTCCAAAGCTTGAGCTCGCGCCTGGAGCATTGTTGACAGCCGAGGCCTCGTTCCCCCCGACAGTAGCGGACGTTGGAAGCCGTCCTGCGCACCGAGTTCTCTTCAGCGCAAACGGGACAAATCCAGTGCGCGGCGACATCAAAGAAGTTGTCACTGGCCTTGTGCAGGTAGCAGCACACGTTGCAACTTTGCCGTCGCATTTGGGTTCGCCACAACTATTGCAGCGCCAGCTCGTAAAGTTTGAGAAGGAACGGCTGGCTTTGGCCCCTCTTGCGGTGCACCCCCTGTAGTAGCCTCTTCCGGCGCCGGACATGGTATGCGCTCAGGTGCTGGAGGGGGTGGTGCTTCCAGGCCTATATATAATGGCGCTGGCTGCCTGCCAGCCTGGTCCGACAACGATACTCGCCATCATCTCCTCCACGGTGCGGCTCCTCTACAAACTCTGGCAGACGGACTCCTCAACTATTTGGCATCGTCTAATCTCCTCATCAGTAAGGGGGCGGACTCCTCCACTCCCACAGGGTAATAGAGTGCCCCCTCTGCATTCGAGCGGGGTCGACTTGCTGGTAAAGGCGCACGCCGGCTGTGTGGGGGCATGCACGAGATGTTTTTGTGTGTCCCTTAAAGGGGTGTGGGAGCCGTTTGTCCCCCGTGGTCACCAGTGTAGTGGAAGAGGGGGGCGCTTGTGTCGAGGGAGCATATTGAGGGCCGGTGGGGGAACCGATCGGGTTCCTTCAAGTTCGAGGGGGGGCCCAGACCCTCGAATCGACAGATTCCATCTTCTTGGAAGGGATCGACCGAAAAAAGATATCCACAAACGCGACACCGGCTGATCCGTCTCTGGGAGGTGCTCCCCACTCCAAACTTGGCTAGAGCGATGTATTGAAGCACTGTCGACCTTCAGCGGATGGGCGATCCAACTGTCCAGCCGGTTCAGCCACACTCTAGCCGGTGCAGGGGTGAATGAGTTCTGGAGGGAGAGCTGTCTTGCCTCCTTTCCAAAGGGGTCTTTACCAGGAAGGGCTAGAGAGGGTCTAAGAGCCGAACCGATCAAAGTTTTCCAATGTTGGAGGCGCTCGATTCTGGTCCATCCCTCCCCAATGAATCCACCTCGGGGACTGGGGCACGACTCACCCAATCTGCCATCTCGTTGTGATACGTGCGGATGCACACAGAGTGGCATGAGAAGTCGAATTCAGCGTCTAGGCAAACTCGTAGACGAGCAAATGGGTTCCTGGGTCTCCTCTTAGTGAGCCACGAACGGACGTTGTCGTTGTCAGTCACGTAGAGGACAAGCTCCCCCCGCCAATGGGGGGCTTCAGAGCATGCGAGGGCGACGAAAGCCATCATCTCCGCAATGGAAAGGATCTCGTAATTGTCGCCATGTGGAATTTCGGCTTTCAGACGCTCTGCATAGTGCGAGAAGTCCTCGACCGCAAACTTTCTGGCTTTCCAATCAATGCTCCCAAACCTTTTCGGAAATCAACGGCGCCGAATCCCCCAGGTAGCCTTGGGCTTCCGAGGCTTGTTGCCATAGCTCTCCACGGAGGTCTTGTGCCAGGGCAACGGCTTGATTGGGATCCGCAGCGAAGACTCGCCCAACGTGCAGGCAAAGGCATTGCCTGCTCTCCATGGCCGATTCGGCCCCAAACAACGGATGGGAGCCCTCCTTCGCCTCCAGCTTATCTAGGTGATCCTCGAAAGGTAAGGAAAGACCCTTGGGGTAAAGTTTGGATTGTCACCACGGCCTCTGGTGGCTCGTCATCTGAGACCTTACCGATCTTGAAGCTGCCAGCCTCCAGGCAGGATTGCGCCTCCTGGGCGGGTGCCCCTCATCAGCTGCAGTGATCAAGACCTCCTGAAGGGTCAAAGGGGCTCCTTCCATGCGGGCGTTCACCAGCCTTGCTGCGACGTGTGGGTGAAATCCGCGGTGGGGGCAAGCAGTCCCTCCTCAAGGACTTTGCGGTACACCCGAAGGCGATGGGGTCCGAAAGATGTATGCCAGGCAAGGTCGGGGCCAAGTCCGACTTCACTCAGCTCCTTC